TTCAAAATAAATGCTAAAAATTCCCAAAAAAATCCCTAAAAAACCCCCTAAAATTCCTCAAAATTCCCAAAAAATTCCCAAAATTCCCAAAAAATCCCGGGATTCACCTGGAGCATGGCGAGGGTCCTGCCCATGACGGCGTTGAACAATTCCTGGGCGGCGGCTCCGGCCACGAGGAAGAATTCGCTGAGGAAGGCGAACTCGCGGCAGGCGGCGTCCAGCAGCGCAAAGTGCTGCGAGCGGAAAAGCGCCTCGAACGGGAACTGCCAGCGGGAAAAAAAACCGGGATCAGCGCGGGGAAAAACGGGAATAAAATTCCCGGATTCCCCAAAAAAAACCGCGCGGAAATCCGACGAGTTTTGGGGATTTTACGGCGATTTTATGGAATTTTTTCTGAATTTTTCTGCATTTTTTTGTGATTTTTTACAAATTTTTTACAATTTTTTTCCATAGTTTTCTGGGAAAAAATTGGGGAAAAAAGAAGAAAGAAGTGGGGAAAAAAATTCCGGAATTTTCCCAAAAAAAACCGCGTGGAAATCCGACGAGTTTTGGCGATTTTACGACAATTTTACAGATTTTTTTCTGCATATTTTTGTGATTTTTTTTCCCGATTTTTTACAAATTTTTTCCATAGTTTTCTGGGAAAAAATTGGGAAAAAAAGAAGAAAGAAGTGGGGAAAAAAAATTCCGGAATTTTCCCAAAAAAAACTGCGCAAAAATCGGGAGAATTTTGGCGATTTTACGACGATTTTACAGATTTTTTTCTGCATATTTTTGTGATTTTTTTTCTCGATTTTTTACAAATTTTTTCCATAGTTTTCTGGGAAAAAATTGGGAAAAAAAGAAGAAAGAAATGGGGAAAAAAATTCCGGAATTTTCCCAAAACAACCGCGCGAAAATCGGGGGAATTTTGGGGATTTTACGACGATTTTATAGATTTTTCCTCCATTTTTTTGTGATTTTTCTCCATTTTTCCTCAATTTTTCCCGTGTTTTTCTTGGAATAAATCTGGAAAGCAGAAGGAAAAATTGGGGAAAAAATTCCAGAATTTTCCAAACAAAAAACCGCACGAAAATCCGGTGAATTTTGGGGATTTTACATTTTTTTTTTCCCAATTTTTTCTCCATTTCTCTCCGTGTTTTTGCAATTTTCCCCCAATTTATTCCAATTTTTTTTTTCCATTTATTTCTTGGAATAAATCTGAAAAGGAAAAGGAAAAATCAAGAAAAAAATTCCAGAATTTTCAAAAAAAACCCGCAGGAAAATCGGACGATTTTTGGGGATTTTCTGCCTTTTTTCTTGTTTTTTTTTACCATTTTTTCCCCATTTTTTTTGGTTTTTTAAATGATTTTTTTCTCAATTTTTCCTGGAAAAAATCTGGACAATATTTCCCCATTTTTTTCTGGGATTTTTTACATTTTTGGGGGGATTTTTCCCATTTTTTTCTGGGATTTTTCCCATTTTTTTCTGGGATTTTTCCCATTTTTTGGGAGATTTTTTGCCATTTTTTGGGGGATTTTTTCCCATTTTTTTCTGGGATTTTTGGGGGATTTTTCCCATTTTTTTCTGGGATTTTTCCCATTTTTTTCTGGGATTTTTTGGGGGATTTTTTCCCATTTTTTTCTGGGATTTTTCCCATTTTTTTCTGGGATTTTTTGGGGGATTTTCCCCAATTTTTTTCTGCCATTTTTTCTTCATTTTTTCACAATATTTTTGCCATTTTTTACAATTCCTTTCCATGTTTTTCTTGGAAAAAATTTGGAAAAAAAGAAGCAAAAATTGGTAAAAAAATGGCAAATTTTCCCAAAAAAAGCCACGGGAAAATCGCGCATTTTTGGGGGATTTTCCCTCCAAAAATCCGATTTTTTCCGGGGTTTTCCCCAATTTTTCCTGCTTTTTTTGTGTTTCTTTCCCTCCCAGTTCATCCCAGCTCATCCCAGTCCATCCCAGTCCCCATTTCCCATCCATTTTCCCCTAAAAAATTCAATTTTTCCTGTTTTTTTCCCCAATTTTCCCCTTTTTTTCTGATTTTTTTTCCCATTTTTTGCTCCCAGTTTGTCCCAGTCCCCATTTCCCATCCATTTTCCCCCCAAAAATCTGATTTTTTCCCCATTTTTTCCCCATTTTCCCCCCGATTTTTCCCATTTTTTCACCGATTTTCTCCCCGTTTTTTGCTCCCAGTTTGTCCCAGTTCCTCCCAGTCCCTCCCACTTCCCTCCCAGTCCCTCCCAGTTTGTCCCAGTCCCTCCCAGTCCATCCCAGTTTGTCCCAGTCCCCATTTCCCATCCATTTTCCCCCAAAAAATCTGATTTTTTCCCCATTTTTTCCCCCGTTTTTCCCATTTTTTCACCAATTTTTTCCCCATTTTTTGCTCCCAGTTTATCCCAGTCCCTCCCAGTCCCTCCCAGTCCATCCCAGTTCCCTCCCAGTTCCCTCCCAGTCCCTCCCAGTCCATCCCAGTCCCTCCCAGTCCCTCCCAGTTTATCCCAGTCCCTCCCAGTTTATCCCAGTCCCTCCCAGTCCCTCCCAGTCCCCATTTCCCATCCATTTTCCCCCCAAAAATCTGATTTTTTCCCCATTTTCCCCCCGATTTTTCCCATTTCTTCACCGATTTTCTCCCTGTTTTTTGCTCCCAGTCCCTCCCAGTCCCTCCCAGTCCCTCCCAGTCCATCCCAGTTCCCTCCCAGTTCCCTCCCAGTCCATCCCAGTATCCCCCAGTTCCCATTTCCCATCCATTTTCCCCCCAAAAATCTGATTTTTTCCCCATTTTCCCCCCGATTTTTCCCATTTTTTCACCGATTTTCTCCCCGTTTTTTGCTCCCAGTCCCTCCCAGTCCCTCCCAGTTTGTCCCAGTCCATCCCAGTCCATCCCAGTCACCCTCTGGTCGCCCTTGGCGGCGGCGTGGGGGACGATGATCGGCGCCTCGAGCTCGCCGGGCCCGATGATGGCGCCGCGGTTGCCCAGGGTGAAGACGGTGTTGCGGCTGCGCAGCGACGGCTTCGAGAAGAACCGTGGCCCCAAAAGTCAAGGAATTCACCCCAAAAATATCCCCAAATATCCTGAAAAAATCCCGGAAAAAATCGCCCAAAAAATCCCGAAAAAATCCCCAAAAACCACCCAAAAATCCCATTAAAAACCATCCAAGAACCTCAGAAAAGACACAAAAATCGTCCCAAAAATCCACCAAAATCGTCCCAAAAAATCNAAACCACCCAAAAATCCCATTAAAAACCATCCAAGAACCTCAGAAAAGACACAAAAATCGTCCCAAAAATCCACCAAAATCGTCCCAAAAAATCCTACAAAATCATCCCAAAAATCCACCAAAATCATCCCAAAAAATCCCCCAAAATCATCCCAAAAATAATCTGAAAAAATTCCCAAAAATCATCCCAAAAATCATCCCAAAAATTCCCAGTCCTGGGGTACCCCCGGTGTTGCGGCTGCGCAGCGACGGCTTCGAGAAGAACCGTGGCCCAAAAGTCAAGGAATTCACCCCAAAAATATCCCCAAAATATCCTGAAAAATATCCCGGAAAAAATCCCCAAAAAATCCGCAAAAAATCCCATTAAAAAACCCCAAAACTCCCCAAAAATACCCCAGAAAAACCATAAAAATCATCCCAAAAAGCCACCAAAATCATCTCAAAAAATCCCCCAAAATCATCCCAAAAAATCCCCCAAAATCATCCCAAAAATCATCTGAAAAACTCCCAGAAATTCCCAAAAATCACCCCAAAAATCATCCCCAAAATCCCCGATCCTGGGGTACCCCCGGTGTTGCGGCTGCGCAGCGACGGCTTCGAGAAGAACCGTGGCCCCAAAAGTCAAGGAATTCACCCCAAAAATATCCCCAAAATATCCTGGAAAAAATCCCGGAAAAAATCCCGGAAAAAATCCCCCAAAAATCCCATTAAAAATCCCCAAAACCACCCAAAAATCCCATTAAAAACCATCCAAGAACCTCAGAAAAAACACAAATATCGTCCCAAAAATCCACCAAAATCATCCCAAAAAATCATCCCAAAAATTCCCAAAAATCACCCCAAAAATCATCCCAAAAATTCCCAAAAACCATCCCAAAAATCCCCAGTCCTGGGGCAGCCCCGGTGCTGCGGCTGCGCAGCGACGGCTTCGAGAAGAACCGTGGCTCCAAAAGTCAAGGAATTCACCCCAAAAATATCCCAAAATATCCTGGAAAAAATCCCGGAAAAAATCCCCAAAAAATCCCCGAAAAATCCCATTAAAAACCCCCAAAACCACCCAAAAATCCCATTAAAAACCATCCAAGAACCTCAGAAAAGACACAAAAATCGTCCCAAAAATCCACCAAAATCGTCCCAAAAAATCCACCAAAATCATCCCAAAAATCCACCAAAATCATCCCAAAAAATCCTCCAAAATCATCCCAAAAATAATCTGAAAAAATTCCCAAAAATTGCCAAAAATTCCCAAAAATCATCCCCAAAATCCCCAATCCTGGGGTACCCCCGGTGCTGCGGCTGCGCAGCGACGGCTTCGAGAAGAACCGTGGCCCCAAAAGTCAAGGAATTCACCCCAAAAATATCCCAAAATATCCTGGAAAAAATCCCGGAAAAAATCCCCCAAAAAATCCCCCAAAAAATCCGCAAAAAATCCCATAAAAAAGTCCCAAAACACCCCCAAAATACCTAAAAATCATGCCAAAAATTCAAAAAAATCCTCCCAAAAATCCCGAAAAAACGTCCCAAAAATCATCCCAAAAATTGTCCCAAATATCCCCAAAAATCCCCAAAAATCATCCCAAAAATCATCCCAAAAATCGTCCTAAAAATAATTCCAAAATCACCCCAAAAATCATCCCCAAAATCATCCCAAAATCCCCAAAATTCATCCAAAAATCATCCCAAAAATCATCCTAAAATCATCCCAAAATGATCCCAAAAATCCCCCAAAAATCCCCCAAATCCTCAAAAAAATCCCAAAAAATCCCCAACAAATCCTGAAAATTTCCCAAAAATACCTAAAAATCCTCAAAATCATCCCGAAATTCCCAAATAAATCCCCAAAATTCCAAAAATCCTGAAAAATCTCCAGAAAATCCAAAAAAATTCCCAACATTTCCCCAAAAGTGCCAAAAATTTCCCAAGAATCCCCCAAAAAATCCCAAAAAATTCCCCCCAAAAATTCCAAAAACAAACCACCCAAAAATTCCCCAAAATTCCCCAAAAATTCCCAAGAAATTCCCATAAACCCAAAAAAAAATCCCCCAAAATTCTGAATAATTCCCAAAAAAACCCCAAAAAATTCCCAAAAAATCCCCAAAAAATCTTGAAAAATTCCCCAAAATCCCCAAATTTCCCAAATTTCCCAAAATTCCCAAAATTCCCCCAAATTCCATGTGGGATATCCTTCCGGGCCGTGTCCTCGAGCCCCATCAGGTCGTCCTTGTCGGCCACTTCCTCGTACTGCGGAAAAATTCCCAAAATTCCCAAAATTCCCAAAATTCCCACATTTTCCAAGAGTTCCACAACGTTCCCAAAAACTGCCCCAAAATTTCCCCAAAAATTCCCCCCAAAATTCCCAAATTTTCCCCAAAAATTCCCGCAAAATTCCCCTCAAAATTCCCAAATTTTCCCCAAAAATTCCTGCAAAATTCCCCTCAAAATTCCCCAATTTCCCCAAAATTCCCCAAATTCCCAAAATTCCCAATGGTTACCCAAAATTTCCCCCAAAAATTCCCACAAATTCCCCTCCAAATTCCCAAAATTCCCCAAATTTTCCCCAAAATTCCCAACAGTTCTCCCACATTCCCAAAAGTTGTCCCAAAATTTCCCCAAAATTCCCCTCAAAATTCCCACATTTTCTCAAAAATCCCCAAATTCCCAAATTTCCCCCCAAATTCACAACAATTCCCCAAAATTCCCCAAAAATTCCCAAAAGTTCCCTCAAAATTCCCAAATTTCCCCAAAAATTCCCAAAAGTTCCCTCAAAATTCCCAAAATTCCCAAATCTCCCAACAGTTCCACAAGGTTCCCAAAATTTCCCCAAATTTTCATAAAAATCCCCCTCAAAATTCCCAATTTTTCAAAAAATTCCCCAATTTTCCCAAAATTCCCAAAAATTGCCGCAAAATTCCCCTCAAAATTCCCCAAGTTCCCAAAGTTTCTCACAAAATTACCAAAATTCCCCTCAAAATTCCCAAATTTTCCCAAAAATTCCCCCAAAATGTCCCCAAATTCCCCAAAATTCCCGGGAAATTTGGGGGAAAATTTTGGGAAAATTTGAGGAGGAAATTTGGGGGAAATTTGGGGAAAATAGAGGAAAATTGGGAAGGTTGAAAAATGGGAAATAGTTGGGAAAATTTGGGGGAAATTTTGGGAAATTTGGGAAAACTTTGTGAAAAGGTTGGGAAAAGTTGGGAAGAATTGGGAAAATTGAGAAAAAAAGGGAAAATGGTGGGAAAAATGAGGGGAAAAAAGTGAAAATTTGGGAAAAATTTGGAAAAGTTGGCAAAACTTTGGGAAAACTTTGGGAAAATTTGGGAAAAGTTTGGAAAAATTGAGGAAAAATGGGCAAATATTGGGAAAATTGAGGGAAAAATGGAGGGAAAATGGCGGAAAAATTGGGAAAACTCTGGGAAAACTTGGGAAAACTTTGGGAAAAGCTGGGAAAAGGTGGGAAAAATTGGGAAAGGTTGGGAAATTTGAGGAAAAAAGGGAATATTGTGGGAAAATTGAGGAAAAGTTGGGAAAATCCTGGGAAAATCTTGAGAGAAATGAGGAAAAATGGAGGAAAAATTGGGAAAACACTGGGAAAAGGTTGGGGAAAGTTGGGAAAACTTTGGGAAAATTTGGGAAAAGTTTGGAAAAATTGAGGAAAAAAAGGGCAAATCTTGGGAAAATCTTGGGAAAACGCTAGGAGAAGTTGGGGAAAATTGGGAAAAGTTGGGAAATTTGAGAATAAAAGGGAATATTGTGGGAAATTTCTGGGAAATTTGGGAAAATGGAGGGAAAATATTGAGAAAAATGAGGGAAAAATTGAGGGAAAATGGCGGAAAAATGGGGAAAACGTTGGGAAAAGCTGGGAAAAGTTGGGAAAAGTTGGGAAAAGTTGGGAAAAAAAGGGAATATTGTGGGAAAATTCCGGGAAATTTGGGAAAATCTTGGGAAAACTTTGGGAAAATCTTGGGAAAATGGAGGGAAAATCTTGAGAGAAACAAGAGAAAATGGCAGGAAAATGGCGGGAAAATGGGGAAAATGCTGGGAAAACGGGAAAATTTGGGAAAAGTTTGGAAAAATTGAGGAAAAAAAAGGGCAAATATTGGGAAAATAGAGGGAAAAATTGAGGGAAAATGGCGGAAAACTTGGGAAAACTTTGGGAAAAGCTGGGAAAAGGTGGGAAAAATTGGGAAAAAAGGGAATATTGTGGGAAAGTTGCGGGAAATTTGGGAAAAGGTTGGGAAAACTTTTGAAAAGCTGGGAAAAGTTGGGGAAAATTGGGAAAAGGTTGGGAAAAATTGGGAAAAGCTGGGAAAAGTTGGGAAAAAAGGGGAATATTGTGGGAAAATGGAGGGAAAATATTGAGAGAAATGAGAGAAAATGGAGGGAAAATGGCGGGAAAATGGGGAAAACGTTGGAAAAACTTTGTGAAAACTTTGTGAAAATTTGGGAAAAGTTTGGAAAAATTGAGGAAAAAAAGGGAAAATCTTGGGAAAATGGAGGGAAAATCTTGAGAGAAACGAGGGAAAATGGCGGGAAAATGGCAGGAAAATGGGGAAAACGCTGGGAAAACGCTGGGAAAAGTTGGGAAAAGTTGGGAAAAAAAGGGAATATTGTGGGAAAATTCCGGGAAATTTGGGAAAATCTTGGGAAAATGGAGGGAAAATCTT